GGATGTGCCGTTGATTTTTGGCAATTTTTTTGTTCGACGATATATCATTTTATGCAAGAAACTGAGCAACACCATCAACAAAAAAAAACAAAATTGCCAAAAATCAACGGTATATCCTAACTGCTTCAAACTTGCACTTTATTATACTAAAATTGAATTCGCTACAAAACCGCATACCTAAAATCTTTCTACGAAACCGAATTAAAACATTTTTACAAAAGTTTTTTGAATTTTTTTTTAAATATTCCACAAAGTTTTTACGGCTTTTGTCAAGGAATAAACTAAAACTTTATTAAAAAAACAACTAAAATTAAAAACAATTAAAATTTGTCAATATGTGGTGCAGGTATTATTATGACACCGTGTGTATGTGGCAGAAAATTGCAAGATGTAATGGTATTTGTATTAAATTGAAAATATTAAAGTCGCGCTGAGGTTTACACTCCTCTCATACACACACAAACACACACCCACCCATATACACGCACACACACGCACACAAACTTTCCATTAGCTTTAAAGTACACATGCAAAGCAATGCTGGCGTTATGTGTGCGTGTGTGTGTATATGTTTGTGTGCCGAAATAATTGGCAGAAGTAAAATGCAAAAATTTAACAACCAAAAAAATATCAGCGGCTGCTAAAAAATGTTTAAACCAAGCTCAGTGGCTCAAGAGTATTGGCCCGAATAGATATGTGTGTAGGATTTTTGTAACGGTAAAAAGCGACGAGTACAAGCGAAGACATGATGAAAGGGAAATTGGTAATTTACAATTTCCAACTGCAATTGCTTTCCTACCATTTTTAAATGTTAATCAATCAATCAAAGAATCGATAACCATTTATGAGCCAAATAAATGAGGCTTACCTTACGCGCAGGCATGTGTGAGTACGTACTTATGGATAAGTATATTAGGATGCCTCGTCAAAAAAAGTTGCGGTTTTTCCGTTGCGGTATTATAAAATTTCTTATATTATAAAATTTCCGCCAAAATATTTCGGAGAAATATAAAGATTTAAAGTGAGCTGGCCTAATTTCAAAATATTTCGAAAAATCTTATTTTTTTGATTCCTTTAATAAAATTTGGAAACATTCTTATGCAAAGCTAAAACTCTTCTATCGTCTGAGGTGAACTTTTGACAAAAATATTTTTAACAACAAATCGGTTCAGCTCACGTAGATTTTAAATATTTCTCCGCAAGTCAAAAAAAAAAAATGCAAAAAAAAATATTAAAATATCGATGGAGAAATAGTTCAGATTTCTTGCATGAAGAGCGATACAGCCTAATGTATAAACTTACAAGCCTTTAAGTTTGTCCAATAAGAACATCAGTATCATCTAGTAATCAATTTCATACAAACCACATCTACATAGCATATATGTACATACATACGCATCTATGTATCTCTTTCTGTTTTTCCCTCGCATCCCTGCTGCCGCTTCTTCACTACTCCGTGCACTCCACACCACTCGTCTGCTGTTCTGGTAGGTCAATCACAATGTCCCTACCCCGGCGATCCACCAAATGGTCTAATAGCGCCGCTCAAATTCAATTATGATTCCGGCGATTACCTGAGCGTTCAATGTCGTCCAGGCTTTGTGCAGTACAGTGAGAATGGTCCGCCCGAACGTCCGAAATGTCAACCGGATGGTAATTGGTCCGGTCCGGTGCCCAAATGTCGCAGCTATGAGGAAGTGTAGCTAATCAAAATGGCGGACATGATGATGCCGGAATCATCTGATGAGTCCACGCAACTACAATATCAGCGTGAATAAAAACAACAACAACAACAAGAAGAAAATTGGCTACGGTATTAGCAGCGCATATCTATGTACATCAAATGTAGATAATACGTACATATGTATGTATGAGTATGCAGTTAAATGAAGCGTATAAAAGTCGGACTATATAGGCAAAACAGCAACAACAACAACAACCACAACAAATATTTATGGTCATAATTTCAGATTTGTATGTAGAAAAAGCGATAAAAAAAAAACAAAAAAATAACAACAAATGTTGGCGAATAAAACAACAGTACACATACGCACACACATCGTATTTTGTTGCAGTAGTGTACCTTAAGGTAAAATGGTTGGGTCAAATACGATGCACACCCACACAATCACACGGCATATTTTCGGCTACACACACACACACACACTCTTACACATTTACCAGAATAAGAATGATCTTGAAATGTAAACACTTCCTTATTCTATCTATCTCAGCAAACATAGGTTTAGCTTTTGAAATGTTTTTCTCAAATTTGAAGTATTTGAGTAAAGTCTCTATTTATAATTAAGAATTAAGAAATTTAAAAATGTAGCTTAATTAGACAAAACTTAATTTAAGAAAAAATAATTTGGTCAACATTTTGAAAAACTTTAAAATTTTTGTTTATTGCAATATAAATTTAAACAACGTGTTTGTAGCTGAAATTCTCATTAAAATCCATTTTTGGGTTCGAAGATATTAATTTGTAAATAAAACACTGCGCTGGTTTTCAAGATGGCGTAGCCGGCATTATTATAAACAAAAATTTCCAAACCTCTTTTACCTGCCTGTCTATACCTGCCATGGGCGATCGCATACGAACTGTCAGTTTTCTCGCATTCGAAATTTGATCGCAGAAAAATTTATGATGAACGGTCTACACCTGCGATATATCTCTTACGATGCTTCGTATGCGAGCGCCCATAGCAGGCATGGACGTACAGTTATACTATAAGACTACCATTTCCCTAGGTTGCAAAGGAATCGGGAGAGCAGTTACCTACCGCTCTTTTTCTGGCGGAGTTGTCCCTAAATTATATAATTTAGATATTGTGGAAATTAGACTTTCCCTACTTTTTTTAATTTTCATTAAGTTCATTTCCACATCGAATTTTTTAAATTCCGCAACGTTTTTTTTTAATTCAATTTCTAATGAAAATTTCCTCTAAGACCTTTTGGTTATGCTAAACTTATTCATACATATATTTCAATGAAAATTTCTNTTGAAAAGTTATTTTTTTTTTTGTAAATCGCAAAAATTCCATAAATTTTGTTTTGAAACCTAATAATTTGACATATTGTTGAAACTTGGTCATATAAATTTATAAACTAGCTGAGTTATAGCTGGTCGAAATCAATTGTGTATCGCAATTTTGCGATTCAAAATAACTATAAATTTTTTCAATTCCTGGTAGCGACCACAATTAATTTTGTTTAATTTTCGTAGAACAAAATTAAAGTGATGCCTCATGATATTGATATTTTTAAGGACCACCTTAATACTACGCTATGTAAAATAAGTACAGTAGCTTTCATATGAGTATCATTTTAAAATGTGCTTGGATTTCAAATCAAATGTTTGCTGGGATATAATATAGATATATACCCTGCAGGAAAGAACAGCTAATACCTTAAAAAAAAACACTGATAATAACTATTTTCAGTATATTTTTTATGGCTCCAAACCATTTGCTTTTTGCTAGGCTTTAGTAAGTAGGACAGCAAATTTCACATATTTCCTTCTGCTGCTTGAAATGCAAGTGCACTTTCAATTATTCAAGCTCATAAAACCAGACATGATCATTGTCTTACATTAAAAGATTCCTTTTAAGAGTGATTACCAACGTTTGAAGTCGCCCGGGGTTCCTGCTGAGTATCGCAGATCAAGAGGTGGGGCAAACGGGTTTTTTCGCCTTGATCCCTGGTGGTATGTACATACGAATCAAAGATGGATGATATATGGACCTGTCAACCGGCTCCGATGTATATATTAGAAAAAAAAAAGTTTTTCAAGGCCCAGTTATAGTTTGGAAATATATTTTGATATAGTCGAGCGGGATTTTTTAAGATAATATTCAAACGAAAAGTTATTAAGAAGTGTTCTGGTAAACTTCAACTTTTAAAGCACAGACTATGGTCTCAGAAGCAACGAAAGCGCCGAAAAACAGGCAAGAAAAAGATCTTCAATTGTATTTATGGACTCGAAAACAATTTGTCATATTGGTTGGTGAAATGCATGCGCATTTCAACCTTCTGATCTCTGGAAATCACTTTCAACATCTAAGTCGATCTCGATTCCGTTTCTAAAAGCTATGAGGTATCAAAAGTCGCAACTAACCTTCTAGTTTCGATATTAGGTCAACGAAAAATGTGTGCCAATTAAAAAAAGTTATTTCGCAGCGAACTTAAGTACCCTTTTAATTCACTTAATGGGATGAGTATTTAACGCAGCAGTGATCCTGTATAAGACAAGATTTGGATTTAGAATCTTATAAATTTTCTTAAACTTTCGGTTGTTTTTTCTTGCATTT